CGGTAACATGAGGATTATGCAGGGATGGGAAAAAGCACAAGGGGTCAGAGCATAATGGGGTGGGGATGCCTAGGAAGACTTCCTGGAGGAAGTGACATCTGAGCTAAACCCTGAATAAAGAGGGAGAGCAAGCTAGATTCCATGTTTCTGTTCAGACAGAAGACAAGAAGCCATTTCTGACCACAACGTAGAGCCAAGAGCCAAGGTCTGGGACCCAGGACTCCTGTGCTCCTGTCCACACTTGGCAGCTCATCCATGATGTGACCCTGGGCAAGTCACTCCCCCTTTACGAGCCTCAGTTTCCCCACCTGTGCCGGAGGGAGTTGAGCCACACCTCAAAGACTCCTGAAAGTCATTCTAAGAGTTTGCACTTCTGAGTATTTGGGTTCTGACTCAGTCCTAGCCTTTTACCTTCTCACAGTGACAAGGGACTGCAGGAGGGCCTGCCTCAGTTCTTCAAGTTCTGCCAGGAACAGTGAGGAGGCCCCAGGAGGGCAGTACCCAGCACTCACCTCTCAGCTCGCAGCTGCTGGGGTTGGATCATGGCAGTCAGGGTCCAGGGGAACAGGTGGCAGAGGGTCTCGTGCCCCCAGGCCAGGCTGAGTTTGCCTCTCACTTCTGTCCAGCCACCCTGCGGCTTGGGAGTCCCCAGAAGCTGTCTTTGGGAAGGCCCCACCCTCGTGTCTCTCAATTTGAGAAGGGGCTCCTCCTCCAGGCTCTTTGGTGTAGGCTGTGGCCAGCACTTCCTCTTACCCCACCTCTCAGCTGCACAGCAGTTGGCTAAGTGTCTCCCTTGGGAGCTGAGTTTGTAGCAGTCCACGGACTCCGGGGCTTTGGGGATTTTCTCTGTGTCAGTGCTTGATCCCACGCCTCAGTCGAGTATCAGAAAGTCCTACCCCATCAGAGACAGAGTACCAGTGTTGACTCAGCCACCAAGGGGCCCTGTGACCTTGGGGGGGTCACTTCCCTTTGTCACTAAGCCCACCTAGCATCCCCTTACTGCCAAGCCTTCATGCAAGCTGTCCCCTAGGCCTGGAAGGCTCGCCTCCTCCTGGTCTGCCATTCCTCAAGGCTCTGCTCAAATGCCGCCTCCTCCAGGAAGTCTCCCTGGCTCTTCCGACAGTTAATTCTCCAGGAGAGTTGGTGCTCACGGCCACCTCTATCGTATGAGAATGTGGAAGCTGGATTACAGCATCTTACCCTTACCCTGCAGCAATGACCTACACTTTCCTCATCCCTAGGTTCCCGTCTCCACGAGGCTGCCAACCAGGGTGAGCTTCACATTACACAACTGATCACGCCCCTCCTTGCTTAAAACCCTTCCAATGCACCAGCCTGCACTTCGGAGGAAGTCCAAACCCCTGGCTCTGCCTGCCTCCCGAAGCCTTCGGGGCCCTGTCAGCTTCCCCAGCCTCCTCTCTCCTGCCCAGCCCTTCCCACACTCACCTCCTTTCTGTTTCTAGAATGCTCTAAGATGCCTTCCCCTCCGGGCCTTCACACATGCTGTTCCCTCTGCTGGAATGCTCTTCCCCTGCTTCCCTCAGGGCTCGGCTTGGAACTTACTTCTTTACAGAGGACTTCCCGGCCCCTCACCTAAATTTAACCCCTTTCTATTATATTCTTTCACAGATCCCTGTGCTTTTACTTCAGAGTACAAATAACTATTGCAATTTCATATTTATTTGTGTATTTCCATTTTTAACGGCTGCCCTCCCCCATCTCCCCCAGCTAGCACAATGCCTGGCACGTTGCAAGTACTCTACCAATGTTTGATGCATGAAGGAAATGCTTCCAGTTAGTGATTCTGTGGCTTCTTCTAACGCGTGTAGCTGTTTGATTCTGAGGGGAGCTCCCCAAAGAGAAGACCACAAGGAGGGGGGCACATCCACACTCAGTCACCCCTAACAGGTCACAAACACACAATGCACTCACACTCACTCACACGCACACACACATATTCACACTCACACACCCACACTCACACTCACACATATACACACTCACATTGCAGAAGCAAACAGAAAGACAGCAGAGGAAGGACATGATGAGGAAGCAGGTAAGCCTTTAAGTCCATGGGCATCGAGACAATGGGCCTTTCTGACAGACTGGCCCTTCAGCTTCCTCTGCCCCAAACCCATGCAGCACTAGGAACCCCCAGGACTGGGTCAGGAGTCTGCAGGGACAGAGCTAGCTGGATGAAGCCTGGCACCAGAGGTCCCATCTAGTTTCTCACTTCCCAGAAAAGGCACTGGGATCAGGAGCCATTCTCAGGATCCTTAGGCCTGTCTGGCTCTAAGGAGAATGGAGAGTGGCTGCAGCCTCAAGTCCTTCTTCAGAACCTTGTCCCTGCTCCACTCAGCCACTCCAAGTGATCTTCTGCCCCAAATAGAGCTTCGAGTAGATCCAGAGTTCCCAGGATGGGAGATGTTCTGGGCCCAGCCCCACAGCCCTGGCCCAGTGACGATCTCCCTTCCTTCATCCAGCTGGGCCAGGGTGGCAAGCTCTTCAGAACCCAGGATTCTCTATGCGCTCCATGGGAGGGAGGGACAGAGCATGGTGCAAGACAGAGGAGGGGCAGGCAAAGGGAACAATGGAGAGAGATCATCAACAGCCGTTTATTGAGCAAGGCATCTAGGATACAGAGAGGCATCAAGAACAAAACAGAGTGACCAGAAACTGACTTTCCCATCCTGGTTCAAATATGTAAAAATGCTGAACAATATATGTTTAAATATTTTAAACATTCCCAGCCAAGTTCAAAAGCAAGAAAGTATAATTGGAGGTTCTAAGAGAGGGGACAGGAAAGTATACCAGTGAGAGGGGCTAGAACCCACAGCTCATGGGGGAACCAAGGGTGGATATGAGCTGTAGGGGCTGAGATTTTAATGCCTACATTTAGGACCTAGGTCCAGGCTACAGGTCCCGCTGTTAGCAGTGAGTCAAATCTGAGCTCCCGGTGTGAAGCCAAGTGAGAACTGATGAGGAGAATAGAATTTCTGAGCTGTCAGCCTGGTGTGACTGCAGGAATTGAGGGGCTATTCCAGGCCATGGGTGGAACCAGGGACATGTACACCCCAACAAAGCCTCCAACCTGAAACATAGACTGCTGTGTGGCCCAGACATAAGCTACCCATGTGGTACAGAAATCCCAAGCTGCAGCATAAAAGTAGTCTGAAGTCAGTGAGTCTGCAAGGGAAACAGCAGAACTGCCCCATGAGCTCATAGACCAAAATTACAAAACATGTAAGGAACGCCTACACTATGAAAGGCTGCTTACAGACTCGATACACTGGAGAATTCACACCTGAAGAACTAGAAATAATAGAGATGAGGAATCCAACCTGGTTGCTGGTATCTCTGGGCTCCTAGTCTAGAGGATGAAAATTAAATGAGCAATTAAAGGACAGGGTTAAGTATACTAGATGTGCAAGGTTCTGTATGTACCAAGAAGTGCAAGCCCCTAGCTGTGGCTGAAAGAAGAGGTCTAGAGTTGATCAGGAAGCAACAAAACAATTGTAGTGAGAAAGTGTGCTGCAGCACTGTCCTGTGACTGCATGGGCAGCGTGTGTATTGTATGTGTACAACTGAAAACACACATTTATGTACATAAACAGGTATCTAAACACATGCCACTATATGTAGGCAAGTGTGAGTGTGTTCATGATTGTGTCTATAAAAGTGTATGCAATGTGATGGTCGTGGCACTATAAGAAAATATATTTAGATGCTCTTGCAAGTGAATGCATAATGAGGGTAAGCATAAGTACGTTTACAACACGTGAACTTGGGAACGTGGACAAGCTGTATGTCTTCTTTGATCTTTTCTTTACTCATCTATAAAATCACTACTACCACCACCAGTTGCCATCAAGTCAACTTGATGGTCAAGTCAACTCATGGTAACCCCGTGTGTTTCAGTGTAGAACTATGCTCCATAGGGTTTTCTTTTTTTTTTTTTTTATTGTACTTTAGATGAAGGTTTACAAAACAAATAGTTTCTCATTAAACAGTTAGTACACATATTGTTTTATGACTATGGTTAACAACCCCATGACATGTCAACACTGTCCCTTCTCAACCTTGGGTTCCCTGTTACCAGCTTTCTGTCCCTTCTTGCCTTCTAGTCCTTGTGCCTGGCCTGTTGTGCCCCCATTAGTCTCGTTTTGTTTATGGGGCTGTCTAAACTTTGGCTGAACGGTGAACCTCGGGAGTGACTTCATTACTGAGCTACAAGGGTGTCTGGGGGCCATATGGTCAGGGTTTCTCCAGTCTCTGTCAGGCCAGTCAGTCTGGTCTTTCCATAGGGTTTTCAATGGTAGATTTTTCAGAAGTAGATCACCAGGCCTTTCTTCTGAGGTGCCTCTTGGTGGACTCGAACCTCCAATCTTTCTGTTAGTAGCTGAGCATGTTAGCTGTTTTCACCACCCAGGAACCATCTGTAAAATAGGTACTCCTACTGCTCGACTCGAAGGCAACCGGTTTGGTTGGTTGGTTGTGGTTTTTTTAATGGGGTTGCGGTAAGAATTAATGAGAAAGTGTATGAAAAGTGTCTAATCACATGAGAATTTCTTGTTCTTATTCTTGTTTATACTTTTCTGTGTGTGTGAGAGAGAGAGAGACAGAGAGAGAGAATGTGGCAAGTTCTGTATATGCTGGTTCAGGTAGGCCAAGCCCTCAAGTTCACCTTTCCAGGTTTCTCCAGGTCTTACCTTCCCATACCACCCCCCACCACCACCCCAAGAAGCCCCCTGTGGCCCCGACTCAGTCACTGGCAGCCACATTTGCAGAAGAGGAACAGGGTGTCCCGGAGGGGCCCGGGCCTGGGGGTGGGGGAGCCTGCTTTTCCCCTCCCCCACTCCTTTTCGCCCCACCTGTGATTCTGCTGAATATGGTTATTTCTCTGACTGCTCCAACACAGAACACTGCTGCTAAGTTTATGCCTGAGCTCAGAGACAATGTAATTTGAGGCCAGACACCCTGTCAGCGGTCGGCTCCCAGCGGGGTGCTGCTGCTGCTGTTACTGTTCCTGTGCTTCGCCCCCACCCCACCCCCACACCTGGTCTCTGGCTGCCGCTGCAGGTGGGGAGAACAAGGCAGAGAGATAGCCTGGAAGAGACGCCAAACTCTTCACACATTCCAGCAAGAACGTATTTATTGAGACTTTCCGGGTAGATAACAAAGAAATGCCTGAAGTGACCTCTTGAAAATAGAGGCCTGTCTCTCCACAGCCTGGGAGGAAATTCAAGAGCCGTTGAACAGTCTAAATTGGTATTGCAGAGCCCAAGCATTACAGCTTGTATATTTTATTCATAGAAGGCAGCTAGGTTACTTTGGGAGCACATGCAAATTCAACAGCCTAGATATGTGAAGTGGCAAATTAGGAGGAGGAGGAGAACGGCTAGGGGCAGTCAGAAGCAAAGGACAGATCGGTGACAACCTGACAATGACGAAGAGGCTGGGATGGTGAGAAAAAGAGACTCACGCTCTCCAAAACACATGCCAGGGGCCATTCAGAGAAGGGGCACCGTGCATTACCCAAGTTCA